AAAGAGACTTGTGGCAGAATTATCTATTAAAGCTCAGTAAGTGTAAAATATGCCATTGCAGGAAATAAATGCTCAAATGGGCAACAGGATACCAGTTATAACAGGATACAACCCATCTGGTTCAGTAGTCACAGAATGACATGTTTATCTTTACGAACACGCTGACACAATAAATGGTCTGGTGTCACAATCACACAAATGCCTGCATACAATGACTACAAAGCAACAGCCAATACACTAAAAAAGGGTGTGTAGGACCAATAAAATTCCCACTACAGACTTGAACTTTGTTTGTACTTTTGTCTCCTGCACACGGGCCTCTGTGCTAAGCTCAAATGTCATTACTGGCTTTTGTGTCAATGTTTACTTTCATTGCATTCAAATATTGCAAACGTAGCAAATACACCTGTACAAAAACACATTTCAGCCTGAGGGTACTGCTAACCTGCTCCCTGGTGAAGTTCTTCTCTGGGCTCAGCAGATATGGTGTGATGAAGGGCTCCCCAGGCTTTATCGATGACATAAACCCATAGAAGCATAAGAATATCACGGCCCACTTCCACTTCCTGGGCCCCCTGTCGTCCTCTGGGTGACCATCGGAGGGAGATGGGACCTCAGAAGCACAGACAGCCACCTCCACATCTCCATCTTCATGTTTGTCAGTCGTTTCAGAAGCAGGAACGTTCGGCTCCATCTCCCCCTCTACTCTGTCCTCACTTCCTGCTCTGTCATCTGCTTTCATGATGTCAGCTGATGCAGAACACGGTGTGAGGACTGGTTTTGATGTGAAAAGTTGGTGACTTCTTCCCTGAACAGAACAAATAAACTATAAAAAACCAGGATGAAAAAACTTAGAAAAATCAACTGGACTAGGTTTTTAGGTTGAAGACATTTCACCTCTCATCCAAGAGGCTTCATCAGTTCTGCACTGCAGAACTAAATCCTGTCATTCACATACAGTGGGTACGGAAAGTATTCAGACCCCCTTAAATTTTTCACTCTTTGTTATATTGCAGCCATATGCTAAAATCATTTACGTTCATTTTTTTCCTCATTAATGTACACACAGCACCCCATATTGACAGAAAAACACAGAAT